CTGCTAGAAAATGACATGTTCCAATGTTACCTACACATCAATTTGTGTATGTATGCATGTGTGAAGGACTTCTGTTGGAGAATGGCACATTCCAGTTTTATCTGTATGTGTACTTATGTGTTTGTGTGTCATGTGTGTCCATGCGTGGTTGGCTTCTGTTGGAGAATGGCACATTCCAGTTTTATCTGTATGTGTACTTATGTGTTTGTGTGTCATGTGTGTCCATGCGTGGTTGGCTTCTGTTGGAGAATGGCACATTCCAGTTTTATCTGTATGTGTACTTATGTGTTTGTGTGTCATGTGTGTCCATGCGTGGTTGGCTTCTGTTGGAGAATGGCACATTCCAGTGATCTTTTCTAGGGCAGCCTAGCAAGGTAGCTTTTGGAAACCCAATTTTTTTTGCTCCCACTCCCGCAGCTCAGCTGACACCTCTTTACCTGCTTCCTCCACAGCCTGGCTGTTCTTGGGCACAGACAAGACTCTCAGCCGGAGCCTAAAACCCAGTCACCCTAGGGGAGTCTGCTGAGGAATATTATTTTAAGATGTGTTGCTTTCGTTTATGCTGTGGAATATTTAATTTTGCAAAGATGTATTGCATTCTTTCATGTTGCATTTGTTTAACTCTGCAAAACTGTGTTACTTTGCTTGTTTAAAACACATGATTGGTCTAATAAAGAGCTGGATGGCCAATAGTGAGGTAGGAGAAAGGATAGGCAGGGCTGGTGAGCAGAGAGAAGAAATAGAAGGAAAACTCTAGGCTCGAGAGAGAAGAGGGAGGAGCAACAAAATGAAAATGAGGAGAGTACACCAGGGACCAGGGATACAGCCACACGCCACACAGCCACACAGCCACACAGAAACAGTCACACAGCCACATGCCACACGCCATACAGTCACATGCCACACAGTCACACAGTCAGCCACAGAGTAAGAAGAAAAGAAATATACAGAATAGAGACAGGTAAAACACCCAGATGCAAAACATGGCTGAAGAGAAATGGGGTAATTTAGGTTAGAAAAGCTGACTAGAAACAAGCCGAACTAAGGTCCAGCATTCGTAAGTAAGAACGAGTCTCCGTGTGTTTAGTTGGGAGCTGGGTGGCAGGGCTCCAAAGAGTGAAAACAAGCAAGCACACACCGCCAGTCCCGTTGGCCTGTGGGGCTGGGGAGAGACACCACCCTGGCTGGGAGGGTGCACTCATCTTCATGTTGCCAGGGCAGTATTTGGTCTCTGCCGACTGCTGAGTGGTGACTTGGACTCTTCCTTCCCCTGAGGAGATTCCATCTAGAACAATCCATGCTTCTGTTCAACCTCAGCCTGTACCTGGTTTTCCACAAGATCCTAACGTCACATCTGGTCAGGCAGCCCACGTGGGCTGGGAAAAGGAGTGGCATAGCAACCGGAAAACATTGGTAGCAGCAGCTGGAGGTTTCTTCTGAAGTGAGGACAGCCCAGCCAGCACCTTCCTCCATCTTGCTCCCTCTTCCTTGAACAGGTGTGGGAGCTGGCGCTGTGGTGGGGGTGAACAGGTGTCTCCAATGCAAATTAGCAGGGCTCAGTGAGTTTCGAGTCACACAGACCGGTTCAGTGTTGCAGCCTTGACCTTACGTCAACCTTGCCGAGCCGTGGCTTTTCATCTTGTGAAGGATTGGGATGGGTGTGTCTGGAATAGACTCATAAGCCAGTTGAGTTGGGAGGTAGGCTGATGCCCGGTGCTTTACTGAGCTGGGCATGGAGGCAGCTTCACCTCTGAGAAACCAGCACAGCGATCTCTTACTGGACCCAGTTTTGGAATTTTCTCTTTCTCCTTGAAAGGCTGCGGGTGTAGGGTTTGAGTTCTCTGCACTGACTCCTGTGATTGAAATTCTCAGGTCTGTTGTGGGGAAAAGCACTGATGTGTCTTATCCTTACCTGAAAGCCAGGAAGGACTGGTTGACAGTGATTTGTTTTAGATTTGGAGACAGGACCTTAAACTCCCCATCCTCCTTTTTCCTGAGGGTTCAGAGGTGCACTAGCACACTGAGTTTATGTGGCTCTGGAGGTCAAACCCTGGACCTAGGCATACTAGACAGACAAACGTTCTATCAATGGAGTTCCATCCTAACACCACAGAGGCCACTTTTAAATGCCCAGGGCTGAATTAAGAGTAATTCTTTGTGGGAAATGAATGAGGTGGCAGTATCATATGTATGGGCATATATACCAGACTTCGTAGCATTGTCTGAAGGTTTAGAAGACTGGACATTGTGTGTGTGTGTGTGTGTGTGTGTGTGTGTGTGTACAGGCGTATGTATGCACACCTGTGTGTGTGTGCAGGTGTCTGTATGCACACCTGTGTGTGTGAGTGTGTGTGAGTGTGTGTGAGTGTGTGTGTGAGTGTGGTGACCCAAAGATGCTGTCAGGTACAGTCTTTGATTGCTCTCCATTTAATTGAGGCAAGGGCTCCCACTGAGCGCAGGCTCATTGCTTTAGGCTCGTCCAGCTACCCAGGCTGCCCTGGGAAGTGCCACATTTCTGAGCAGCATTGGGATTGTGGCACCCCAGCTCGGCTTTTTACATGAATGCTAATGATCCAGGATCCAGTCGTCACCATCACACAGCAAGCACTTTATACACAGAGAACCCTTTCCCTGCTTGGCACCAGACATCTTATAACTCATTATACATAATGTGTTTTTAGAAAATTTGTATCTGAAGCTTTAATTACTCAATAAATACGATGGCTGTGTTATCATTTCCTGCTAGTTGTGTGTGTAAAGGTTGTTTATACTGAGAACACAGACTGGGTTTTATTTTAGATAATTGATAAGAAATGGATTTAAAATATGGGCTGGATCTTACTGGATTGCCTCATCCAGCCTTAATAGGAGAGGAGGTGCCTACTCTCACTGCAGCTTGATATGGTGATGTCCATGGGAGGCCTGCCGTATCAAAGGAGAAACAGCGGAGGAGGGGACGGGAGGGGAGAGGCAGAGGGGAGGTGCGTGCATTAACTGGGAAGGAGGGATAGCAGTTGAGAATGTGGGCCACTCTTGTAGAGGACATTCACAGTGGGCAGCTCGTGTCTTATGATTCCAGCTTTGGTGGATCTGATGCCTCTGGCCTCCAAAGGCACCTGTACTCATGTGCACGTGCTGACAGACAGACAGTCACACACACACACACACACACACACACACACACACACACACACACACACACACACCATTAAAAATAAATCTTGTTAAAAATTACTGTTTTCTTGTAGTTGGAAAAGTTAAAACTTGAGCCAGAGTTAGGCAAAAGAAGAAAAAAATTAGAACACACAGCTGTAAACAGAGTGTGAACAGAAGGGCTGTGGCTGAATCTGTGAGACGTCATGCGTGCCCAAACCTGCCAGTTACATAGAGCTCTACAAAGATGACTTCATAGTGGTGTGAACCACTCAGGACCATAGCAAACGGTGATTCTCGTCGTGATGAGCTTCTCACCACCATTTGCCTGTTATCTGTGCTACAGAGTTATGAACCCATCTTAGTTAAGGTAGTAAATATTACCTTATTAGGCCACAACAACATGCACAACACCATCTCTAATACAGCGTGACTCTGATACTCCCTGATTATAGGAGGATTTGACTCTTCAGCAAGGGTGAGCGAAACTGATGGTTGTGTGGTGTGTAAACCCGGGCCTCGCTCTGTAACTGACGTCTCAGGGTGGGTTTCACCCTGTCTCCCTGTCACTGTGCTCTTGGAGAGTTCGTTGGGTAGCTGTCAGATCCACCCAAAGGAGAGCAGGTGTGTGCATAGCTGTGGTGATGTTGTCTCAGATTCTGAGTGGGCAACATCGTGGTGAGGTCACTTCTAGACTCAGAAGGCTCAGTGAGGGGGCTGGGGGAATCTGGTGTGTGTTCTGACCAAGGCCTCTTCCAGATGACCTGAGGTTGATATTTGAGTATTATATTTCTCTAAGGAAAGTAGCTTGTGTGCGCTAACTAGGCCTTCAGGGATGGCTTCCACTTAAGGAGGGGCAGAGAAATTTTGGTGGAATGTGTACTCCTCTTGAACAAGGAGAGAGTCTGTTAAAAACATCCAGAGGCCCAAGGTCAACTTCAGGTGTTGTTTTGTAGGTGTTCTTTTTTGAGTAAAAGTAATACTGAGACTGGGTGTGAAACCCCCTGAGATGTCATTCATTGAACTGAGCCCAGGATGCAAACGTGCTGTGTAATCAGGGTGTGTGCTCACATACGTGTGGAGACCTGAGGTCAATCTCTGGTGCTGTTTTACAGGAGGTGTCTGTCATTGGCCTTTGACTTGCCAATATGGCGATGCTGGTCGGCCAGCTCCCCCAGGGGCTGGCCTGCTTCTGCCCTCCAACTGCAGGGATTACAAGCATGCGCCATCATGTCTGGCTTCTGGGGGTCAAACGTGGTTCCTACTGGTTGCCCCACAAGCCTTTGAACAACTGAGCGCTGTGTCCACCACTGGCTATTCATTTCAGAGAGACCCTAAAACGTCTCTTTAGAATGTTTTCCTCCTCAGTGTAGTAGAATGTGCATTAAATGGCTCATCTTGAACAAAGGGAAATCAAGCTGGCGTTAGCTCTTTCCCATCTGAGACCCTCACTCCAGTTGTGCCTCCCACATGGTACAAGGGCTTCCACGTCCCTGTGAGGGCAGGAAGGAGCTTGGCCCCTTACTTTACAGTTGAGGTCAGGCAACTTGCCACTGTTGCTCACCCGGGAGTGGGTGACAGCTTTTTGACATCTAACCTTTCCAGTCTCAGCTGTCCCTGTCCTACACTTGGTTTGAACTTTCTAGCATTTGCTGAATTTCTCTGTTTGGATGTGTAGACAGCTGCCCACTCTTTAGCATACGGTCAGAGCCAGGCAGAGCACTGTGCTGTACAGGGTGGTGATAAATGTGAGCTAAGGCACTGTCCCCTAGACCTTGCCTGTAACTGGAAATGAAGTGTCTGGCCTGCAGCTGGACGGCTCACGGCAGGTGTTTCTGGACTTTCAGGACGGAAGACTCCATAACAGACGACGACAAGAGGAGGTATGTGTGCTGTCTGCAGCTGGTGTCACGTGAGTGATTTTGTTCACAGTGCATGAGCATAACCCACGCTAGCACAGGATGATGGCACAGATTCCGTCAGGTGGGCTGTTTGTGGGGACATGTATCTGAAAAGACAGAGTCTCTGCTGTGACCCAGCAAGCTTGTGCTCTGTCCTGGGACTGTGACCTGTGCCATCCATTCTCGTCCCCGAGTCGACTGACTTCCCCTCCTCACCTCAGTGCGTCTGTTTCGGCTCCTGCTTCCTCAGGTTCACGCTGCTCTGTTGTGCATGCCTGGGCTCTCTGTCTCAGAGTATAACCATCTTTCCCTATGAGGAAGTGAGTTTTGAATATCCACATTGCCTAATACCACAGTGATCTCTGAATTTGTCATAAACGTGATTGACACCTGTCACATATTACTCGACCCATCATTATACTACTTATTACAAGCAAAATATTTTAAAATTTTACTGATTTATTGGAGCTGTTTTTTCCAGAGCCTCCTTTTAAACATAGAAAAACAAGAATTTAAAAGTCACGAGTTGTCTTCATAATTATATAATGATTTGAAGTGGTTTATGCTTTTTTTATGCTTCTCTCTCTTTAGTACCTTTAAATTGATATAATTTCTTTTCTTAAAGAAACTATGGAGGAGTGTATGTTGGCCTGCCCTCTGAAGCTGCCAGTATGGTGTCTAGTCAAGCAAAGGCAGTACGAAAGAGTAAGTGAGCGTTATGTGGGGCTTATTTCCTCAAAAAGAAGTGTATGTGTTTGCGTGTGCATGTATGGGAGTGTGTTTATGATGTACAGATGTGTCTGTGTATGTATGGGAGTGTGTTTATGATGTACAGATGTGTCTGTGTATGTATGGGTGTGTGTTTATGATGTACAGATGTGTCTATGTATGTATGGGTGTGTGTTTATGATGTATGGATGTGTCTGTGCGTGTATGGGTGTGTGTATATGATGTATGGATGTGTCTGTGTATGTATAGGTGTGTGTTTATGTATGTGTTTGCATGTGTATGTATGGGTGTGTGTGTTTATGATGTATGATGTGTATGATGTATGGATGTGTCTGTATGTATGGGTGTGTGTTTATGTGTTTGTGTGTGTTTGTATGGGTGTGTGTGTGATGTATGGATGTGTCTGTGTGTGTATGGGTGTGTGTTTATGTATGTGTGGGTGTGTCTGTGTGTGTATGGGTGTGTGTTTGTGTATGTGTTTGCATGCATATGTATGGGTGTGTGTGTTTATGATGTATGGATGTGTCTGTGTATGTATGGGTGTGTGTGTGATGTATGGATGTGTCTGTGTATGTATGGGTGTGTGTGTGATGTATGGATGTGTCTGTATGTATGGGTGTGAGTTTATGTATGTGTTTGCGTGTGTATGTATGGGTGTGTGTGTTTATGATGTACATGTGTTTGTGTGTGTGTGTGTGTGTGTGTAGTATTTGTGTGTGCATTCATGGGTGTTTAGGTTCCCATGCATGTGAAGGTCTGAGGAGAAAGTCTGGTTCTCCTCTTGGGAGATGTCCTCTGTTTTGAAGTCAGGGTCTCTCACTGACTTGAACTTGTCAAGTCCTTTAGTCTGGCTGGTCAGCAAGCCCTGGAGATCCACCTGTCTTAGCCTCCTGAGGACCAGGTTACAGGTGCGTGCCACCATGTTGGGCTTCCATGTAAAATGTAGGTTTGGGGACTTGAACTCCAGTCACCCTGCTTGTTTAGCAGGAACCTTACCTCACCTACTGAGCTCTTTCCCTGGTTTCAAAAAACTATGCAATTTATATTTTCCATTTACCTGACTTAACCTACCTGCTCCTCAGTGACAGTGAGCCATAAGTGAACTATTTGCTCCTTGTCACTATTTTCCGAAATTGCCACCCACATGTTAAAAGCAACCTCCATAAAAGTCCAATTTGCTTAGAGGTTGCAAATTGGGTTTTTATTTCTATATATGCTCCATGGCTACTCATAATTTCTTGTTAATTTCACTGCTGATCAGTGTGAAATGGAAAACCAGTTTAAACAATAGAGTGTTTGTGAGCATGGAGATGACGCGGTGACCACAGGAAAACACTGCTCACAGAGCTGGGTCACATTGTTTTTAAGAATTTTATAATTATTTGTTTTAAGACTAGTCACATTTAAATTTATTCAAAGTGCGTGTGTGTGCCTGCATGTGTGTGTGTGTGCTGGTGTGTGCTTGCGTGTGTGTGCTTGCATGTGTACTTGTGTGTGTGTTTGTAGGTGTGCTTGCATGTGTGTTCTTGTGTGCGTGTGTGTTTGGGTGTGTGCGCTGGCGTGTGTGTGCTTGTGTATGTGTGCTTACGAGTGTATGTGTTTCTGTGTGTGCTTGCATGTATGTGTGTGTATGTGCGTGCAGGCGCTGGCATGTGTGTGTGTGTGTGTGCACACTTGAATGACAGCTGGGAGATCTGGGTTAGAGAGACTCTGGCTAGGGGTCAGGGGTCGACACACAGTGTGTAGCAGTGAAGCTCAAGAGAAGACGTGCCCATCGCTGGTTGAGATGGGCAGCTGTCCTGGCCGACACAGGAGCAGGTATGCAGGGAGGGAGAATGTCTGTTCACTTGGTCTCATGGTGCATTCTGTATTAGGCTTTCCGCTCTGCGCTGTCCTTGCCAGGTATGCTCAGGATGTGGGGTGTCGCTCTGTGTGCTGTGAATATCTGTTACCATTGGTTAATAGAGAAGCTGACGTGTCCAGTAGCCAGGCAGAATAGAGCCAGGCGGGAAATCTAAGCAGAGACACGGGGAGGAAGAAGGCAGAGTCAGGGTCAGGGAGACTCTGCCTTCTTCCTCCCTGGAAGTGTAGCCAGAGCATTACCAGTAAGCCACGCCCACATGGCAGTACACAGATGAGTAGAAATGGGGTAATTTAAGTTGTAGAAGCTAGTTAATAAGAAGCTAATAGGCCAAACACTTTATAGTTAACACCAATCCTCTGAGTGGTTTTTCTAAAAGCCGCTGCGGGACTGGGCAGGAGCAGAAACCTCCAGTTATACTCCCAGCCTCTTTTGCAGCCTCCACCTTCAGGAGCGCTGAGTCCACTCTCTGTTAGGAGTCAGCCTCTTCCACCTGCTGGCTGCACGGGTTACTTTCCCTTGTGGCCTCAGTCTTGTAATCCATAGAATGGGTCTTTTGCTTAGACATAAGGGTTGTAAATGAAATCGATGGTAGCTTTTGCTTCTATCATTGCCCTCCTCTTCTTATTCCTCTCACTCTCTGTCCTCCCCCACTTCCTCCTCCGCTTCCCCCTCCCTCTCTTCATCTGCCTCCCCTTCTAGAACCCACACTTTAGTAGACCAGAAACAAGAGTTCTTTGATATTGAAGCAACCTCTTGTCCAGGGTCAGTCCTGGAGCTGGTGTTTGGGATGGGGAGGCTCCCAGAGAAGGCTCACAGGCAGAAAGTTGAGAAGTTTCCCTACTGCAGGGCTGGGACACACAGTGTGCCTCTTAAGGGAAGACACAGCCACAGTGTGTCTCTTAAGAGAAGACACACACACAGTGTGCCTCTTAAGGGAAGACACACACACAGTGTGCCTCTTAAGGGAAGACACACACACAGTGTGCCTCTTAAGGGAAGACACACACACAGTGTGCCTCCTAAGGGAAGACACACACACAGTGTGCCTCTTAAGGGAAGACACACACACACAGTGTGCCTCTTAAGGGAAGACACAGCCCTCTTTGAAGAGTGTCTCAGCAGAGAGACATGGAAGGTTTAGACTGGAATTCCCACCACTGGCTTTTGAAAACTCTGCAGTTTAATGCCGGGGAGGGGTATTATAGGTATTGACTGGGTTGACCTATATTGTGAATGTGATGCTGATATGCACACAGCCTGGTTTGGCCATTGCTATTCTGTATTTTAATTGTTACTTGCATTTTTGTAAGTTTCTTAGCATCCAGTTTTATCTCTTTATATAAATAGTGCCAATATCCAGAACTATGCTGCCCAGTAATAGATCTTAAGTAGCTGCTAATGGCTTTTGAACTTGTGCTCTACTTGAAAGTAAATCCAGTGGTCAGTCTGCAGGCCTGAGACATGTGCTTTTATCTAAGTTGTGATTTTTGAGTGTGCTAATTCTTTGTTCTCCCCTCTCTTCTTTTCCTGTCCGTGCTAATTCTTTGTTCTCCCCTCTCTTCTTTTCCTGTCACAGCTTGCTCATGAATTTGGAAGGAATTTGGCTCCAGGAACCTTGTGTCTTCAAACTAATTCTGAAAGGTTGTCCCCTGCTGTGCCACCACTCCCAAATCCTAACTGTGTAGTCAAAGCCATGGGTACATACTGAATGTTGTGGCCACCGAAGGAAATGGGTGAGACTTCGTGCTCACTGGGGGACTGTGTGTGCCCACCAGTGAGAGAGCCCTGAAGGCTGCTGCTACCCAGCCTGGGCCACCAGGATTCATAGCAGTTTCCATCCTGGCCATTCAACACAGTTCACAAAATTCATGTCTTTTCACTGACACTCTTTTGATAGTTTTTATATAATGCAATCCTTGTATTTATAACATGACATTAGGGACATATAAAGGAATTACCTGAAGTACTATATTGCCTCTTGTCCCTTGATGTTTCTACTTCGTTATTTTGTAGCTGTAAAGTTGGTAAATGGAGTCCTACACTTAGCTCCCTTTCTTACTACTTGGTTTAAAATTTTTATTTAAATGTAAGGGAATTCCCTCTGTTGAGAGCACTGCAGTATTTGAAAATGAACTGTTTAAATTTGCATGCTGTCCTCACATGGGTATTAATTCCTGTTCTCTTTAGTCAGAGGCTTACATGGCCACAGATTCTCCAGCTGCCCAGCTGCCTGTTCTCCTTCATATAATCAGCATTTCATCGTGTTCATTCCGTACTGTCTCTTAGGGCTGGCGGGTGATGCTTGGCAGGATGGCTACCTGGAAAGTTCTTAATTTGCTAACAACATGTGTACCTACTTATGACTGTGGCGTAAGTGGCTCAGTTCACCAATGTATTTCCGCAATTAAACATTTTTATCCCCCTTACCTGGATTTCTTAAGTATTTTCAAGAGAACACTTTTAAAGAAGTCACATTTGGTATTATCATGTGTAAATACCATGCATCAATATGTGCAGATAGCACTGTTTAAATAGGTACCTATGAGAAGTGGGATTTTTTTTTCCTGCTAAGAGAAAGGCTCTGTCTTCTATATTTTGTTGATAATGATAGTTGTAGAGCCATCATCACATTGCAAGACAAAAAAGTAAACCTTACTAAGAGCTTATGAGGCATATATTCCTCTGAATGTCCACAAGCTCACCATGGCACTCAGGGGACATCAATGCTTATAATTATAGCCCTGAGAAGCCTGAGGCAGGAGAGTCCGTGGTTCAAGGCAGCTGGCTACACAGTGAGTCTGAGACCAGAATGAACTACATGAGACCCTATCACAAAACTTTTTAAATTGAAAAGCAACAAATAGCAAATACACTGACTTTGGAAAAGTTAATTTACAGATAGCTTTAGATTAATAGCGGGATATATGGAAGGAGTGGGAATCAGTTCCATTCTGACTGAACTCCTCTAGTTTTCCTGTGCCTTTTTTGTTGTTGCTCTAATCCTGGATTACAGTATATCCCAGTTAAATTGATCTACTTAGTTTCCTCTGCTTCCTGGTGACATCTCCCTCAGCTTTTCCGTGTTTTTCATGACCATGAGCCCTTTGATGCCTACTGTACAGGAATTTTGGAATGCACCCTTATGTGAAGCCTCTCTGCGCTCTAATATTGGACTGGGACCACAGGCCTTGAGGGAGACCCCCACTGAGACGGAGTGGCCTCTCTCATCACATCACATCCTGACATCCGAGGGCCCCAGCTCATTACTGGTGACACTCACCTTGAAAGGGTCTCAGCTCTCTCCACCATAGTTCCTAGTTTCCCTTCTCTGATCACTCTACCCCAATGGTTCTCAACCTTCCTGATGCTGCGGCCCTTTAATTCAGTCCCTCAATTTGTGATGACCATCAACTATAAAATTACTTTCACTGCTACTTCATAACTGTGATTTTGTTACCTCTATGAATCATAATGTAAAAATAATCTGTTTTCCTATGGTCCTAGCTAACCACTGGGAAAGAGTCACTCGACCTCCAAAGGGTCATGAGACACAGGTTGAGAACAACTAATGTAAGTGAAACATGAGTCCAGACCATGTTCAAGATGGGGGTTAGGCTCCACCCCCTGGAGGAATTTGGGGGTGTTTATTAAAAGCTTGATGGCATTTGGAATATTTTTGTTCTCACCGGAGTTCCAGTTGTTTTCTAGTTATTTGGGGCATGGTTTGCCCAGTGTGTATACCAAGCCAGTCACTCTTCAACATCCCCTTCTGCAGGTCACTGGAACACTGGTATTGGAGAGACTTGTACACTGGATCACTGGAACAGAGGTATTGGTGGAGTGACTTGCACACTGAGTTACCAGAACACTGGTATTGGTGGAGTGACTTGCACACTGAGTCTCTGGAACACTGGGTTTGGAGAGACTTGCCCACTGAGTCTCTGGAACACTGGTAGTGTAGTGACTTGCAACCTGAGTCTGTGGAACACTGGTATTGGTGGAGAGACTTGCACACTGGGTCACTATAACACTGGTTTTGGTGGAGAGACTTGCACACTGAGTAACTGGAATACCGGTATAGGTGGAGTGACTTGCACACTGGGTCACTGGATCATAGGTATTCATGGAGTGACTTACACACTGATTCAAAGGAACGTTGGTATTAGAGAGACTTGCACACTGACTCACTGGAATACTGGTATTGGTATAGTACTTGTACAATAAGTCACTGGAACACTGGTATAGAAGGAGTGACTTGCACATTCAGTCTGTGGAACACTGGTATTGGTGGAGTGACTTACACACTGATTCACAGGAACACTGGTATTGGTGGAGAGACTTGCACACTTGGTCACTGGAACACTAGTATTGGTGGAGAGGTTGCACACTGGGTCACTGGAACACTGGTATAGGTGGAGTGACTTACACATCGAGTCTCTGTAACTCTGGTATTGGTGGAATGACATGCACACTGACTCACTGGAACATTGGTATTGGAGTAACTTGCATACTGAGACTCTGGAACACTGGTATTGTTGGAGTGACTTGCACACTGAGTTTCTGGAACACTGGTATTGGTGGAGTGACTTGCACACTGAGTCACTGGAACATTGGTACTGGTGGAGAGCCTTGCACACTGAGCCCCTGGAACATTGGTTTTGGTGGAGTGACTTGTACACTGGGTCACTGGACCACTAGTATTGGTGGAGAGGCTTGCACACTTGGTCACTGCAATACTGGTATAGGTGGAGTGACTTGCACATTGACTTTCTGCAACACTGGTATTGGTGGAGTAACTTGCACACTGATTCACTGGAACACTGGTATTGATGGAGAGACTTGCACATTGAGTCTCAGGAACACTGGTATTAGTGGAGAGACTTGCACATTGTGTGACTGGAACACTGGTAATGGTGGAGTGATTTGCACACTGGGTAACTGGAACACTGGTAGTGGAGTGACTTGCACACTGAGTCTGTGGAACACTGGTATTGGTGGAGAGACTTGCACACTGAGTCTGTGGAACACTGGTATTGGTGGAGAGACTTACACACTGAGTCTCTGGAACAATGGTAGTGGAGTGACTTGCACACTGAGTCTGTGGAACACTGGTTTTGGTGGAGAGACTTGCACACTGGGTCACTGGAACACCTGTATAGGTGGAGTGACTTGCACACTGAGTCTATGGAACACTGGCATTGGTGGAGTGATACTGCACACCGTGTCTCTGGAACACTGGTATAGGTGGAGTGACTTGCACACTGGGTCACTGGATCATTGGTATTGGTGGAGTGACTTACACACTGATTCTAAGGAACTTAGGTATTGGAGAGATTTGCATACTGATTCACTGATACACTGGTATTGGACAGACTTGCACACTGACTCACTGGAATACTGGTATTGGTGTAGTACTTGTACACTAAATCATTGGAACACTGGTATAGAAGGAGTGACTTGCACATTCAGTCTGTGGAACACTGGTATTGGTGGAGTGACTTGCACACTGATTCACTGGAATACTGCTATTGGTGGAGTGACTTGCACACTGTGTCTCTGGAACACTGGTATAGGTGGAGTGACTTACACACTGATTCTAAGGAACTTAGGTATTGGAGAGATTTGCACACTGATTCACTGATACACTGGTATTGGACAGACTTGCACACTGACTCACTGGAATACTGGTATTGGTGTAGTACTTGTACACTAAATCATTGGAACACTGGTATAGAAGGAGTGACTTGCACATTCAGTCTGTGGAACACTGGTATTGGTGGAGTGACTTGCACACTGATTCACTGGAATACTGCTATTGGTGGAGAGACCTGCACACTGAGTCTCTGGAACACTGGTATAGGTAGAGTGACTTGCACACTGGGTCACTGGATCATTGGTATTGGTGGAGTGACTTACAAACTGATTCAAAGGAACACTGGTATTGGACAAACTTGCATATTGACTCACTGGAATACTGGTATTGGTGTATTACTTGTATACTAAGTCACTGGAACACTGGTATAGAAGGAGTGACTTGCACATTCAGTCTGTGGAACACTGGTATTGGTGGAGTGACTGGCACACTGATTCACTGGAACACTGGTATTGGTGGAGAGACCTGCACACTGAGTCTGGTATTGGTGGAGAGACTTGCACACTGGGTCACAGGAACACTGGTATAGGTGGAGAGACTTGCACACTGAATCTCTGGAACACTGGTATTAGTGGAGTCACTTGCACAATGAGTCACTGAAACACAGGTATTGGTGGAGAGGCTTGCACACTGAGTCCTGCAACACTGGTATTTGTGGAGTGACTTGCACACTGAGTCACGGGAACACTGATATAGGTGGAGTGACTTGTACCCTGAGCCCCTGGAACACTGGTATTGGTGGAGTGATTTGCACTCTGAGCCCCTGGAACACTGGTAATGGTGGAGTACTTGCACACTGGGTCACTGGAACACTAATATTGGTGGAGAGATTGCACAGTGGGTCATTGGAACACTTGCACAGATTCTGGTATAGGTTCCCGTGCTGGGTGCTGGGACACAGAACTTTAATCCCAGAACTTGGAAGGGAGAAACCAGGGGAATCTCTGAGTTTGAGGCCACCTTGATCCTGTGGCTAGATGAGTGAGCCAGGGCCTAGGATTTAATGACACACATAATTTGTGGCCGTGGGCTCAGGGAGAGGTTAGCTCTTATTTGTTACAGAAGGTTGTAGTAGGCTTTCTTGGACTGACAGGCCCCAAATCGGAACATGGAGACTTCTTATTAATTAAAAAGCTTGTCCTTAGCTTACGTTTGTTTCTAACTAGCTCTTGTAACTTAATTTAATCCATTTCTATTAATCTATTGCTGTCACGTGGCTCGTAGCTTCCATCTCTCCTCCTGTATGTCCTGCTTCCTCTGTGTCTACTCTGGCATCGCTGCCATGCCTAGATTTATCGCTTCTTTTCTCTCTGCCCAGAAGTCCCAGCTAACCTCTTCCTGCCTGGCTATCGGTCATTAAGTTCTTTACTAAACCAATCAAACGATGCCTGGGCAAAGGCACTTCTTCACATATTTCCATAACCTTCACACATAGAAGGTTATGGGAAATTTATCTTCCTTCCTTCCTTCCTTCCTTCCTTCCTTCCTTCCTTCCTTCCTTCCTTCCTTCCTTCCTTCCTTCCTTCTTACATGCCAGAAGAGGGCACCAGATCCCACTATAGATGGTTGTGAAACACCATGGGAATCGAACTTAGGACCTCTGGAAGACCAGCAAGTGGGCCATCTCCTGACCTCCCCCCTTACCACCACCCCGTTTTGAGACAAGTTCTAATTATCTCTGGATGGCTTCACTAGACCAGGTTGGCCTCAAACTCACAGAGATCTACCTGCCTTTGCCTCCTGTGTGCTAGGAAAGCCTTTGTGAAGCTAAACCTGGTTTTTTGTTTGTGTGTTTTTTCATTTTCTGATTCCAACTGCCTATGTAGCCTAGGATGGTCCTCCTGACTCTACCTCCCAGAGCTGGACTCACAGGCACACACTACCTGGAACCAGGCTTTACTCATGCTAAGCAGGGGCAATGCTAACTGAGTCACATCCTCAGGCTCTTTGTTTTGCCTTTTGATATAGTCTTACTCCATGGCCCAGGCTGGCCTGGAACCTCATATGTAGCCCAGGTTGGCCTTCATGGCAGTCTTCCTGCTCTAGTCTCCTGGGTGTGGATACTGCAGACAGGAGGTGTGCCACCAAACACCATTTGATACATTTTTGTTGTGGAGTTTGGGGTTTTGAGATAATGATCTTACTGTGTAGGTCGATCTCAATGAGCCAATCCCCCTGCCTCAGCCTCTCAAGTACTGAGATGAGTGCCACAACTGGCCTTAGAATTCTTGCTGGCGCTGTTTCTTTGTTTTCAAGGGTCTCCTGTATCTTAGGCTGGCCCTAAACTCACTATGTAGCTGACTAAGACCGTGAACCTCCTGAATCACCCCCGTGCCCCACCCCCAGCCAGGGGTTCACTTTGGATAATAGTTCAGGCAGCTGGGAAGCTGAATGTCCCTGGATCCTCTTAGGTCTGGGGAGAGCAGAGGTGTGCTTGGAAGGTTAGGGACACAGAAGGCACCTTCATTTCATGATGACCTGTTCTTGCTGTGAGTCATCCAGGCCTCACCAGAACTCCAACGCTGGGGAAGACGCTCCTCCTAGTGGCAGATCTAGTCACCTCCCAGAGGGCCGCCTTGAAGAGGGAGGGTTACACTGTCAGTCCCAGCCCTGGGGAGGCTGACACACAGGGACCTCAAGATGGTACAGCCCAGCTCCAAATTTAGCAGGAGACTCTCCCTTCAAGTGACTAAGGCAGAGAGTGATGGAGCACAGCATCCCCTACCCTCAACCCTGCTGCCCACGGGCACACAGAAGTACACACACCACACAGAGGTAACAACGGC